TTTATAAGATGAGATTAATTTTCAAATTTATCACCCCCGACAAACGGTTGCAGGAGATTGATGAGTTTTAGTTTTAAGTTTTTTTATATGATAGATTTTATTTCAATAATTTGGACTTTTGTTTTGATTTGAGATTTGACCCCTCCGGTTGAGATTTTCTGTCAATGCGGCTATCATCGGGGTGATGTTAAGGTCACTTGTATTTTTGTAGAATTTTGGAAGACATTTTGTACTTCAAGTTATGTCGACTCTAGTTCTTTTGAGGAGGTCAATGAAACTTGAATATTTAACCTGCGCAATATTCTCGAATCATTAAATTTGGGACTCATATATGACGATTGGAGCACATATAGGTTAGATTTATTTTGAAAATAGAATGTTATATTAGTGAACATTTGACCTTGCGCAGCATTTTCGGACATTTGTATTTGTAACTTTAACATATTTTTTCATAGTACATACAGGGATATTTTCAAATGTCATTTCAGTATTATCGTAGGGATATAGCATTATGCTCGCTTGTACAAGTATGTTGCGAATCCAGTGGCTTTATATCAATCATTTTGATTCATAGTCCAGTGCACTAGTTACTCGCACATAGTGCATAGTGATACTTGGCAGGCTTAATCCACTATCAGTTGAACACTTTTAAATTTCCATTTTTTTGTTGTTGAAGTTCATTCACTAAGAAAATATCACAATTGTTCAATTAATCAAATCTTTCTATCAAGTCAGTTGAGTATATGAAATTTAGTTGATTGATTGTATTGATTAATATTTGAATTTAATTTATTTAAAGCTCTTTTATAATATTAATATGTTTAACTTATTAGTTAACATATTTTGCTAATTTTAATTCCCAATTTCATTTGATTTCATTATTAATATGTTAATCAGATGAAACATTAACAGAGATCCAATAATTCATTTAATTAATATTATTTAATGACAAAATTTGATTGCATTATTAACCAAATGTAATAAGCCAATTTACTTAATGGATTATCAAGTTTAAATGATTTACTCATTAGGCTCCTGTTAACTGCTCAATTAAATTTGGTTGCGAAGTTTCAGATTAATTAAATTAAATTGTTCAATTGAATGTTCTCCAATTAGTCAATGATCGAGGGCTTCAGATAGTTGTTGGGTCCCGGAATTAGTATTTGGAGGTCCTTGTGATGATTGTTGATGGTCCTTGTGATGATTGTTGATTGCAAATCATTTCCAGTTGAGTGATTTTATTTGATTTTAAAAATTTATTTTTATTCCCTCAAAAATCCGACAGCGTTCTGGCGCCCCCTCCCCTGGCGGGTAGGTTGGGGAGTGCACTTGCCCTTTCAATCTGCACGATCGGAAAGATAGTCAACGGCTAGGGGCGAGACGTTGTCGGGTCCTGGAATTTGGTCTTCGACGGTCCTTGTTGTGCGCGACATGTCGATTAAGTCACTTAACTTTATTTCAAAAATATTTTGAATCCCCTCAAAAATTCGACAGCCTTCTGGCTCCCCCTTCCCTCGTGGGGAGGTTGGGGCCTACTTACCCTTTCAAACCTTCCCGGTCTGAAAGATGGTCAATGGCCGAGGGCTTCGGAACGTTGTCGTGTCCCGAAATCGTGTTCTGAAGCTCCAATTGATTATTGTCGTTTATTGATTTTACTTTATTTAAAAAATATATATTTTATTCTCCTCGAAACTCCCGCAGCCTTCCGGCATCCCCTCCCCTCATGGGGAGGTTGGGGATGGCACTTAACCTTTCAATCCGTCTGGTCAGAAAGATAGTCAATGGCCGAGAGCTTCGGGACATTATTTGGTCCCGGAATTGGTCTTTAGAAGCTTTGATTGATGATTATTGATTGCAGATTATTGGTTACCGACGACTAGTTGCAAATAATTGGTTGCCGGTTGTCGATTGTGATTGTCGATTGCCGATGCGTATGGTTGTAGATTGATGGTTGTCGGTGCTATATATATACATATCATATATGTGTTTTAACATAAATAAAATTGAGTACATCGATTAAGGGATACAAATTGGTTAATGATGAGGGAGATTGCATTCTTCACATTTGATATCAAACAAATAAGATAAGTAGAAAGAAGTTCGCTTATGTATTTCAAAATTTTCATTAAAGTAGTTGGACCTAACATCAAGTACAAATAGAGATACGATGAATGTGAGCAATCTTGTGCCAATCGGAGCCTACACCCCTTTCAATAGCGCACTTCTAACTCTGGATGACATTTCCAAATTGTTAGACATTCCAAAGAGGGAGGAAGTTTTGGTAGTCCCTGAAGCATAGGAACAGCATAAATATATAGAATCTGAAGTAAAGATAAGCTTTCCAAGGATGAAGGGAGAGAGACTGTAAGGATTTCAGAAATGCAAATTTCAGCTCATGAAGCCACTGCTCCGCCTCATTTATAAATGAAACCAGCTCATCATTCACCACAATTCTCAGCTTTTTTAACCATTAGCAACACCGATGGATCACTTATACTGAGATCGCTAAGTATGAAATGGCAATTATTAGTAATATGCACTTCTCGATGTCTTCCAAGAGGGATCAGATTGGGGCAATTTATAATTGTCATGTATCTTAGTGCTGCAAGTATTGTTATTTCATCAGCCAGAAGAAGAGAGGATGATGTTTGGACAGTTAGAGACCTCTAATGTTTCAAGGGGAATAGAATTTGATATGCTACAACAATTTAAAGTCTTTTTGCATTCGTGTTGTAGGTCAACATTAGCATGTATACTTAATATCAAATGTTAGGTTGGAGTTGATATATATTTTATTAGGCTCTGATAACTCACTAATGAAATTGCTTAGCTTAAACAATTAAATCTTTGTTTCCTCACTTCAACTTCAAGTGTGTTTTTTATTGGCTTGCAATATTTGCAGTAGTGCCTTTTGTTCGAGGAATCTAATAGTTAGTCCTTGTTCTTTTCTAACGTATCTATTATGATATTATGGCTTGTGTTCAGTTTGAATTAATTTGAAATAGTAAAAAATATTAAAAAAATTAATCACAATAAACAATTAAGTATAAAATCTAACCTCCAACAATATAATATCTTACATTATAAATAGCAAGTTCATTTTCAAAACATAAGATAAATTTTGCAATTAATTAATAATCTTTAATATGTATCTTCTCTCTATGTTGTACTATCAACAATTAATAATGTTAATAATTGTATTTTTTATATAAGACAATAAATTCAAAAATTAAAAATAAAATTATTTTAAATAAGAGAATATAAGTTTTAAAAATTATTTATTTAATGTTATTATATTAAACTTTTGTAATAGTTTATAAGTTTTAAAAGTTATTTATATTTTGATATTTATATATGAAATGAAAATATCAAATAAAAAGTTGGATAAGTAGTTTTGAACTTTTTTTATTAATATTTATATTTGTATCCAATAATTTAAATAATACTTAATGAATTGCAACAATTTTTATTAAAATTTATAAATTTGATCATGTTTAATAATTAAGTTATATGTTTAAATTATTAGTATCAAATATATAAATAGTTGAGTCTTATTAAAGCTTATTTATGATTTGAATTGTTGGAGGTTAGATTTTATAAAATTCAATGAATGTATAAATTGTGCTTGAATTTGATAAGAAAATAAATGAATGGATTTGATCAATAACGTACTAAACTCAATTTAATTTATATAGTCCTAAACATGAACCAATAATAAAATGAATTAAATGGGTAATGAGCTAGCCTAGCTAATTTGACAAGCTCATTATTTGTTCATATTTGATTAATTGAAAAATTTGTTTGCTAAGAGTATGACACATGCTCGAAATTATTCATGAATAATATGTTTATTTTTTATTCATTTGTTTTCATATGGCTTGTGTTCATTATAAATTAATTTGAAATAGTTAAAAATCTTAATTTTCAATTTTTTTTAATAACTCATAAAAAATAAAATAATTTGTTATTAAAAATTTTAATTACAATAAACAATTAAGTAAAAAATTTTACATCCAACAATATAATTAGTATCTTACATTATAAATAACAAGTTCGTTATTAAAAAATAAAATAAAATTTTCAATCAATAATCTTTAATATATATCTTCTCTCCGTGTTGTACTATCAACAATAAAGTTAATAGTTGTAATTTTTATCTAAGACAATAAATTCAAAAATTAACAATAAAACTATTTTAAATAAGAGAATATAAGAAGTTTAAGCAAATCAAAAAAGTTAAATTTACAAAAAATTGGGAGTTATCTATCAACGTACATTAGTTGATTAGCTTATGTGGCTTAGCCAACAGTTTTTTAAGATCAAATCCCTATATATATAAGAACACCTGTAGTCATTCTAAAAAAAATCATTTGAAAATCTGTAGTAGATAGGGTTTAGTCCAACAAATCTTATTAACAAGCAACAATCAGTAAATTTTAACCAGAATAAAGGCAATTCACAAACTTCTGTAGCAGACATAATGGCTTAGTGGAATATTATAAATATAGATCATCAAAAAATAATAAAATTCATTGATTAATTAAAGATGACGGATCATTCAAAATTCATTTTATTTTTGCAAACTCAAAAATATAAAATCAAAATTAAACAATAATTCAATGATTGCTTCATTTGGACAAATCAATAAGAAAAAAAATTAAAAAAATGAATTTTTACGCAACTATTTAGATTTCAAAGAAGAATATATTTATATATAAAAGAGCCAAAGAAATGATCAAATTCTGAAATTTAATTACATACATAATGAAATATTAAAAGAAGAATATATTTGTATATATAGAAAGGGACTACCAAGTGATACAAATAAAATTAAGTGCATCAAATTATACATTTGACAGCATATATAATGAAATATTAAAAGAAGAATGTATTTATATATAAAGGGACCACCAAGTATAGTGATACATAAATAAAATTGAGTACATCAATCAAGTGATACATATTGGTTCATGTTGAGATAGATTAAAGTACTTTTTTTAAACGAAAGATGATTTTATTCCATCAATGAAAGAGGATACAACCAGCTTAACCAAGAAAAAGAAAGATTACACAATCAAAAACATAAATGACGAGATAGCCAAACAGGCACAAAACAAGTCTTAAAATTTCTTGCAACCACCCAAACGTCGGACAAGGACCATCCAAGAGGCGGAAACCAGCAACAACCCACCAAAAACCAAATGAAAGAAGCAGCAACAACTCAAACAAGGAAACCAAACAGAACAATCTGAAACACCACCAGTGATTGCCAACAAGCCTCGGCAATCCGGGTGGTGAGCAAGAACTGGCCACATCATTGCCCAAAGTAAAGCCTAGCACAAGTTGGACCTAATATCGGGGACGAATAGAGATATGAGGAATGTGAGCAATCCTGTGCCGATCGTAGCCTCCATCCTCTCGATAGCGCTTCTTTAACTCTGGATGACATCCCGAAATTGTTAGACGTTCCAGAGGAGGAGGAAGGTTCGGTAATTCCCGAAGCATAGGAGTATCATAAATAAATAGTTTCTGAAGTGAAGATAAGCTTCCGAAGAAGGAAGGGAGAGACTGTAAGGATTTGAGAAATGAGAATTCCAGCTCACAAAGAGAAAACCTAACTTTCAGAAACCACTGCTCCGTCTCATTTGGAAATGAAATCAGCTCATTATTCCACGAAATACTCAGCTTCTTTGAGGAGGCGATACTTCTCACTGGCTCCATTAGCAACACCGATGGATCACTTATAATAAGATGGTTGAGTATGAGATGGCAATTATTAGTGGTCTCCACTTCTCGATATCTTCCGAGAGAGATCAGATTGGGGCACTTTATAATTTCCAAGTATCTTAGTGCTGCAAGCCTTGCTATTTCATCAGCTAGAGGAAGAGATGTGATGTTTTGACAGTAAGAGACCTTTAATGTTTCAAGGGGAATAGGACTTGAATTGCTACAAAAATTCAAAGTCGTCCACCCAATTTTCTCTGTTGTAAAGCGCTTGAGCTTAGGAGGCAAAGAGGGCAACTCTTTCAACTTCGGGCAGTTTCTTAGCACCAGTTCAGTTAAGCAAGGAAACAAACTTCCATCTTCAGCAGCTACTCCTGCCTCAAACCAATCCTCTAATGCTTCTAATTTGTAAATATATAACAACTCTAGCAATGGAAAGGCATGGTATTGATCAATCCCATTAAACTTACTTTCGAGGCATTTTACTTTCGGCATGTTAGAAAGTGCTAGTGACTTGAGGAAGCGAAGTTGCCCGAAAGGTGGAAGAGTTTCACACTCCAAGCAATCTGTCAATTCGATTTTCTCTAGATTGAAGATTGGATTGACATTGTTCATCCATATTGCAGGCCTTGAACCTACGTAATTCGTTATGATCAGATTCCTTAGACATTTTGGTGGCTGAAGGTTGTCGAGCACACTCTCATCTAAATCGATGTTCCTCGAATAAGTGTTACTCCAACATAAGGTCAAATCTGTGAGCCTGCTCTTTTCACATAATTGGGCATTACGAGCCTCCTCGGCGTCCTTCACATTTTCAAGACAGTTGATTCCTAATTTGCAAAGATCATTCAAATACTTCAACTCATCAATTCTATAACCCATCTCATTTCTAAGATCAAACATATCCAGTTCTTGAAGAGAGATTAGGTTCCCAATCCCACATATCGATGAAATATAATTATTGGACAATTTCAGGTAATGCAATTTAGAAAGATTATTAATGTCACTTGGTAAAAAAACAACTTGGTTTGACGTTACCCATTGATCATAGATCATGTATTTCAAGTGATAGAGATTACTTAGAGATCTTGGCAGCATAGTCAAATTATGACAGAAAATCTTCAAGTATCGAAGATGTATCAAATTTCCAATCTCCTCAGGTATCATTTCCAAGAATGGAACATATACGTATAATAAGCGTAGGCTTCTCGACGCTTTGAATATTTTAATAAGTGCACTGCAAAGATCCTGATTAAAATCTTCATAGAAGAAGAAAAGAGAATGCAAATGTTTAATCTTCCCAATCCTTCTTAAGATGTCTAGGTCTTTAGTTTGAATAGACACGTATCGAAGAGTTTCAGGAATTATAGAAGGCAACTTCACGCTATCCTCAACTCTTAAATATTGTTGTATGGAAACTGACTGTGCCAATTCATGTAATAAATCATGCATCTTGTAGAATGAAAACTTTATGTAGTTTTCAAACTCGTCAAAGAAAGATTTTTTAACCAAAACATCAAAATACCTTCCTCCGATATCCTCCATAGTCTCTCCTTGAAAATTAGAAGGCTGAATGAAACCCAATGCGATCCACATTCGGACTAAATCATCTTTATCAAACGTATGATCTTGTGGGAACATACAACAAAATGCAAAACAATTTTGAAGATGATTTGACAAAACTATATAGCTCAGTCTCAAGATGGAATTGATAGAATTCTGACCCAATAAATTGCTTTCTAAAACTGTCCTCCAATGCCTTTCATCCAAGTTGTCCTTCAGAACACCACCAATGACTTTAGCTCCCAATGGAGATCCTAAAAGCTTTTTAACTATCTCTCCAGCAATGGGTCTTAATTTTTTATGATCATCAGGGGGGTTCTCTACACCAGCAAATGCATGAGAGTTGAGGAGCTGCAAACACTCATCTTCTTCGAGGCCCTCTAATTTAACTATTTCCTCCTCCTTATTAATTACTTTTGCAAACATGAGTGCAACAGAGTCCGTTCGAGTTGTTACCAGAATCTTACTACCAAAAGCCCTAGCAGCCAGAGGGGCGAGCAAATTCTCCCATTTACTTTGGTCCCGCTCTTCCTCCTCCCACATATCATCTAGCACAAGTAAGAACTATTTGGACATCACCTCCTCCTCGACACGCCTTTGAAGTTCCCCAAGTGTCTCCAAACGAGGCCTCTCCTTCTTAAGAGATTCCAACATATCTGCCATGACTTTTTTCACATCGAAGTTGTTAGAAACACAAACCCACATTTTAAGATAAAATTCCTTCGTAATTTCATCATCTTTATAAACATGTTGCAAGAGAGATGTCTTCCCCATACCACCATGGCCCACTATAGATAGAAGAGAAATGTTTCTGTACAAATCAGTTCCCCGAGGCTCATTTGATGGATTCCTGATCAGCCACTCCGTAACAAGCTCCTTCTCCTTGCCTCGACCGATGAAATCATTTTTAGGCAAGGATCCCGTTTCACGTGCTCCGTGCAGCTCAAGCTGCTGCTTCTGAAGCTCCTTCTTTGCGTCTTTTACAAGATGAAGGAAAGTATCAACACCAGTTGTTGAAACTCTATGAAGTTTCTGCACAGCCTCCTCCAGTCGCTTCAAGGTGGGATCAATTTTGAGAGCACGTTTGCCAATTTTGACAAGTTTTTTCTTCATGGATTTCATGATGGAACGCACCTTTCTCAGCTTCTTGTTTTTGGTCGCCTGTTCTTCAAGTTCAATGTACTCCAGCTCATCCACCACGTCATATGCATCATCAATGGCATCTCGTAGCTGCCATAGCCATTTGTTAAGATGCGGATTTTGTTCTGTGATCTGCTCTTGGCTGGAAGCAAAGTGAACGACAGCTTGGATCTGGGGGAGATTCTCTTGCAGCTTTACCAGCTCCTCCTTCATGCCTGTCTGCCATCTGACTTGATCTTTCAGGTAACGGAAGCCAGCGTTGATGATCTCCTCCATAATTGGATCAAGAAACATATCCGCCATGGCAACGACGATCGATGTAGAGCAGAACAACTGAACAGTAAGAGGAAAAATAACAAGAGATTTGGAAGAGATGAGGAGACGATAGTCTACCGGCTCAGGATGATATACTGCTGGTTAAGATAAGGGAAATCCTCACATCCTTCATCTCAACCGTTCCTTTGAAATCCGACGGCCTAGAGGAGACATCAACACGCTGGAAATGGTCAAATGTGGCGTCGCTTCCCTATCTTCCATGATGACATTAAAGTCGAAAACATGCAAAAAAAAAAAAAATAGCTGTCTTTCACTTAATTTTCTTTTTTTTTTTCTTGGGGGGGAATAAGGACGAAGCCCCAATATTCTTTCTTTTTCACAAAGCTCCAAAAGGTCACATGCCGTAATGTAGATCCATATGCTATTCTGTATTCTCCTAAATTTATTTTACTTTAATCATTTTAATATAATCAATTCATTTGACTTTAATGATAAAGATGAAGACTCTTGAATTCATCAGTATAAAAAATGTATAATAAAATTAAAAATATAATAAAAATTAAGAATAAAATAAAAAATATATTATGTTAAATAGCACCAAATTAGTAAATTCAACAAGCTCCATTCAGTACAGCCTGCCTGATAATTCATCATTCTTAATAAATTAAAAAAAATTTCATATTATTATAATTTTAATTACATTTTCTGTAATGAAAATGTATTAATTTCATTCTTATAAATAAGATTAATTATTAATTATAACATGATTAACATGCCAATTCAAATTGTCGGGTATTTGATCACAAGCAACATCTTTATTATCAGATGCAATGATGCTCTGTCTAGTTCAACATGAAACGATGGCATAAAGGTTGAAGATTATGAAAGTGCTACAAGTATATTGACCATATAGCTTCCCATAGATCTAACCATCCCTAGTGAGAATTTATTGACCATATAGCTTAACAAGATTATGAAAGTGTTGCAAGTTCAAGTTGGAGTTTCATTGCAGTCAAATGCTCTCGTAACCATTAAAAGATATCATCACGTAGTTCATCAATTAATGACTCTGAATTTGGGTCTCATTACTTGTAGAAATTTGAAGTAATTTAGAGCTCTAATACTAAATCTCATGCAAGGCTTGCCAAAACTCTTTAGTTTTCTACTGAAAACCATTGTTGTAAATAACATTCAAAAATAAATAATGATACAATGCAATTTTAATTGATTTTCTACCGAATTTGCGAACAATCTCTGTTAAAATCTTAATGGATCCATAAGAACGGCATGATAACGCCACTACAAATATTGAGTTCTAAAAGCAAATTTCAATGGATCAGCAGTACTATGAGGAATGCAAAGTAGAAGAAGAGTTCTGCATGAAAATCTTAAGCTTGAGCACTGAACTCATACATCATGCGACATACATGCATATTATAAGCACATTTCAAATGATTAGCAGAAACTATGCACAAGGTGTAGATTACCATATTAAACCATCAGCATCCGCTTAACATATATATATATATATATATATAATATTAATATATATATTATATATATATATTATATATATATATATATATAAACTCCGAAAGATATATCATAATTCAAGATGGAGTATTAACTCATCTTTGTAGATATTTCTCATAGCACATCATGACATACAAACTCCTTAAGATTAGATAATCAACTTTGTTTATAGCCAAAAATTGCATTAGCATGATTGATTGTACCCATGTGGATGCCTGCATTTCTAAGAAGAAGCTAATGGCACACATAGGATGGTGGAACCCAACACAAAATGTATAAAAATTCAATATATGCTCCTCCTACATAATGAGTGGATGGGAAGCACATGAAAAATCAATCATCTTCCATTCTAGCCACACTAGATCACAGTTGTGAGTTTCTAAGCCACCTCCAAGATAGAGCTTTAATACTTCATGTTGCACTAACTATTCGTAAAGAATTTATGACTTAGATGAGATATATGCTTAGAAAATCAATATTTTGCACACGCACCTTCTCTATTACTTCATGTCAAGCACATCAAATGCACAACATATTGAAATGAAATGATGGATACTACAGAGATTAACTTTTACATTAAAAAGTACAATCAGTACATGAAATCAGACTTGCAAAGCTTCTACGAATTCATCTCTATACATTTATAGATCTCAATGCAAATTTCATCATAAATCCCCAAGGACAACCCGACTCTATGAAAATTTCAAATGATGTGCATCGTTCTATCACCTCAAGCTAAATCAATAGTGATACACCATTAAAAAATTATCTTACTCGGGCACGAATCTCAAGGCAAATCAAGTTTAAAACTTCTGAAATTAAAATTGGGACCATCTGAACTCCAATTTCACCAAATTCGGAGTGCAAGCCTTGGTTGTCGAAGTAGATATGACTTTTGGATTGATTGATTTTATTTTTATAGGATTGAATTTTATTTTATTATGTGTATTTATTGACAAGCGCTATTGTAGACACCTCAAATTGTATATGTAATTTTGAATGATAATTAAAAATATATTTTTGAGATTCAATAGGATTTGAATGACCTTGATTGATGCATGCAAATGCTTTGGTTGATTGATTGATTGTGTATGTACGATGTTGTGATTATGTGATTAACTTATATATTGCCTTAGATTAGAAACACTCTAATTTGTCATTTAAAGTGTCTCAAAATGAGCCAAAGTTAAGTTCTCAATATGGCAACAACAGTGGAATTTAGAGCCTATGTAGTCCCTTTTTTGTAACAAAGTGTTAAAGAGAATGAAGGCCTTTAATTAAGCACGCTTTAAGAAAATATAGAATATAAAATCAGGATATTCTTCAGTTTCCTCACTCTCAAATTTCCTCTATCAACCCTGCTTCCTCCAAAAATTTCCATTCCCCAACGGGGTGGTTCCCCCTCAATTGTGTCAATCATCCCTCCTCCGCTCGCACCCAAACTTTTCATCACAAGCTCATCTTCTCCCTTCAAATTCAGCACCCCTTTGATCATATTCAACCTCTCTCCTTTCAAATTTGATAACCTATTTGTTGATTGTAACTACCGACAAAGTGGCAAATCACCTATGACCCATACACGATCTCACCAAACTGCTCCCCACAACCACCTCTCTCGACATAAAAATGACTCCTCCTCTTATTCAAATGGAATAGGAACATAGAGAAGGAAGATTTTTGGGAGCTTACCTCAGGCGAACGAAGCCCGACTCCAGCGATCAAACCTCAACCTCCTTGCATCTGCACTGATAGTTGCCTCCACTTCTTGCTCAGGTCCAACCAGTTGTCTTCTCTAATCTTGAAGCTAGCTTGACTGATGCCTTCCTTCTGCTTCGGCCTTACCGAGTTTGACCTCCATCCGCTTGCTCAAGTGGAACAGATCGCAAGCCATAACCAGCCCAACCTTCTTCCGCCCAAGCGACCAGCCGCCGGCCTCCCTTCGTCGTCGACCGCCAATTGCTTGCACCCCATCTACCCGAAGTCCGCCGACCTGTCCTCCATGCTCGAGCCCAACTAGCGTCCATCCCTGCCTGATCGGGCTTTCCCTTCTCTCACTCTCTTATTATATATATATATATATAAGAGAATGGAGATTTTCAAACAGGTGGGAGCAAGAAAGGACAAAATTTAAAGGAAGCATACGGGTTTGATCCGGTCCACTGGAGCCCTCGGTCGTCAAGCTTATCAAACCGAGGGATTGAAGACTTGAAGACCCAATCTCCTCATCATTGATTCGCTTTGGCCGAGTCAAGCCAAAAGGGAAAATGCCCTCCTTACCTCCCAGGCACTGGGGAGGAGACGCCAGAAGGCTACCAAAAGTTTCTAAAAAATCCAGGACTTAGCCAAATTCAACCAATCATTATTAATCAAAGGTTTTGAAGACCAATTCAGGGACCCGATGATGTCCTGAAGCCCCTGGGCGTTGATTCGCTCCGGCTGGGTGGACCTAAAAGGGAAAATGCACTCCTAACCTCCCGGTGCCTGGGAGAGGATGCTAGAAGGCTGTCAGATTTTGAGGGGATAAAAAACTGCCTCTTAAAATAAAATTAAATTCTTAAATTAATAGGTTCCACACAATTTGAAGACTCGAATTCCACTAATGGGATCAATTTGCTCTCCTAATCTCCTTGATGTCAAATTATTCTGGTCGAGTCAAGTCCAAAGGGCAAGCGCCCTCCTTACCTCCCAGCGTCGGGGAGGGGACGTTGGGAGGCTGCTGAAATTTTCAGTGAACAAAATGGGATTTGGATGGAAAACTAAAAATTGATTTGAACATAATTCAAACATAAAATCAATTTTAAATTAAATTTGATCGAATAAAGTTGGATTTAAATTTAAATTGGACTCAAATCTGAACTCGATTAAAATTGAATTGATATGTGATATATACAAAATGAGTTTTTAATCTGGATCTCACACTCCAAGAAATAACAAAATTATTTGAGCCACTATTAAATCATGAATAATATTAATTATAAACATAATTTGGTAAAGCTAGGAAACATTTTAACTTTTAGATTGATGAGTGATAATGAGCATCTTACTTTAAGAACTGTATATGTCAATCAATATAAAAATACTTATGTTGATTTAAAAGTTAAATGGGTGCACATCGAGCATTTTAAATAGTGAATATTCAATTGTTAATACAATTGTTCCATTCCATACTTCTCTAAACTTTTTAATGCTATCTTAGAAAGTTTGATTTTGAAGAGAAGTTGACTTGACATTGATAAGTAGGTCTGCAGAAGATGAAGGAAATATGAGGATTATTATTGAATCAAGTACTCAAACTAAACTTATAAGATCATCTGTTGCAAGTAACTTAAGTTGCGATGATAGAGAGAAAATGATCTTATAGCTTTAATGATAGATAACAATAACATCCATTATCACATAAACGGTCACCTATGGGCCACAATATATTCTTGTCATATGTTCGATAGTTTCCTAACATATGCTTGATAGTCTCCTACAAACACAAGATCAATGTGTAATGAACGCGACAACTCACCAGTCAACACACATAAAGAAGTTAGTGATGAATATAACCCATTTGATAGTTAATATTGATATGCAAGTAAATACACTAAATTTATATGCATGTAATATCAATTAATCTATTAAGAATAATTGTTTCCTCCAAGTTTACATGGGACCTTTGTAATAAATATCGTACCATACATAGATCTTCTGCAAATATGAAGAAGAAGATTGTAGCAAATATGACACACTGCATGCAAACAAAAGTAACAAATCTATAATAAATGCAAGAATCCACGAGCAACAATTGAAGATTCATCAGTACACAACATATTATCTACAAGAAGCAGCAAACAACATATAACGCCACCAGATCGGCAACATACTTATACAAGCGGACAAAAGGCGTTGCTAAATGAAATCGCTAACGTAATGGGTCACATTTAAATTTTTAAAAAATGCTCCTTATGCATTAAATATGATCCCTTAAACTAAAGCGCAAACACCCTGTATGTGCTCCGATAAACATGTTAAAGTTACAAGCATAAATGTTCAAGAATGATGCGCATGATCAAATGTTTATTAATAAAATATTTTATTTTCAAACTAAACACCACCCTGTATGTGCTCCTATAAATGTTTTAAAGTTACAAATAGAAATATCAGAGAATGATACATAGGGTCAAATGCTTATTTTATTTATCAAATTAAACGCAACCCGCGTGTGCTTCAATCATCACATCTAAGTCCTAAATCTAATTATTCGAGAATATTGCGCAGGTTAAGTATTCAAGTTTCATTCTCCTCCTTGAAAGGACTGGAGTTGATATGACTTGAAGTACAAAATGTCTCCCAAATTCCTACGAAAATACAAGTGATTTTAATGACACCCCGATGATGGTCGTGTTGACAGGAAATATAAACCGGAGAGGTCAAATCTTAAATCCAACAAAAGTCTAAATCCCTTAAATGAAATCTTTCACTTAAAAACTTGAAACTAAAAATCATCCAACTCCTGCAACAGTTTATCGGGGGTGATAAATTTGAAGTTAACCTCAACTCACAAAGAGCGAATATGTGTCAGGTGTATCACTATGATTCATACTCAAATAGTCTCTTTCCAGCAGGGACATGACACGTGCCCTCTAATCGGGTGATTTCACCGCAAAATAACACAATTATATTACGATCACGGTCAAAGCCCGTATGTTCCCTAATGGCGTCAAACCCTTGAGCAATGGATCATATGATATATTCGATAGGCATAAATCCCTCTGTTAGCTAAGGTGGGTTCATATATATTTCCTTAGATAAATACCAACCCAGGTCTATAAGGTATTCTCGAACGAAACAATCCATGACTACTGATAAAGTACATTATGTCAGGTTGGGTCAACTTCCTCCTCTAACTAAGTAGACCAGGTATCATAATAGCCTAGGACGCAGTACCATCACCAGCTTTAAGTTCATGGTGATAAATTCAAAATCATAAAATCAAATTGAAACCCTAAAACTA